TCAATGTACGATTTTGGTAACGTTTATGACTTAAAAAAAATAATCGACAATGACCCAATAGTACCATACACGATATGATGCAAATCTGTTTTTCGGTGATCACTGGTTTTTTGAGGGGGAAGCTGAGTTTGAACAGTTCACCGTCTGGTTCTGCGGACTTGGTTTCTGTAGCAATATTTAAATTGTATTTTTTTCAAGTTCGAATAAATAATAATCATTAAGTTTTTGAAGGAAATTTACCTATATTTTTCTTATAATATTGCACTCGGTCGTAGTTGATTAACATGAAATATGTTACATCATTATACAATTAATTTATGTAATATTTCATATATTTATATAATGTTGTATAATATATAATATTTTTATTGTGTTTTACATGAAACAGGTGGGTAAGTATAGCGTGTTATTTACTTTCACTAATATTATGGTGTATGAAAATTGCATATATAAAGCGCCGTCTTACGACAAAATAGTATTATTATTATATTTATATGTTTTATTCTTTTCAAACAACAATATTATTATTATCACTATTTTTTTTTTAAATTTTTATAAAAATTATACAATCTATACTAATTGCGTAATAAACATATTCGAAGAAAGTAAACAAGCAGGATAATACGGGGGTAAGACGTCACCCATTAGCAGCACTTAGCATGAGCACAGATTATGTTAATCCATGACTTAGTGGATGGGAAGAGTGGAGTGTGTAGACGAGCTGAAAAAAAACGTTAGGAGTTATAAGATTAAGAGGTCCCTGCACCATCTCCTTTTCAGGCAATGTCGAGGAGCTTCGGGCAAAGTTATAGTATTTAGATTCCTGATTAGTGGGTTTTTGTGGTTGGCTAGGTGTAAAAAGAATCGCTTGTAATAAATGACCGATTTTTCTTCAATTGTTTTCATGCGCATGACATTGTGGAGGGTTTGATTGGATACATACGGTGGGGCATTTGTTATTCTGCGAAGACTAAATAGTGATGTTCTGAAAAGCCTGGATTTTATTAATATTGGTTTTTTTGGCCGACCCCCAAAATAATAATTATTAACTTGATATTTATCTAATTTATTGTGTAAAATGTACTTTAAAATAGTCCAGATTTTGAACGCAATAGTCAATGGATGAGCATCACCAAATGTTATGTTTTTAAAATTAAAGAAGCTACAGAGAAATCAAAATATTGTAATCTGACCTTTAAAAGATCACCGTGTATATGTATATAATATAGTATATTAATTTATATATGTGTCAGTATATATAATATGATATGTAATGTTTATACTGTATATTATTATATTATACTAGCTTCATAATCATAGTAATATTTCAGATAGTGTTTATTACGATTGCGATGGAAATTATGACCACAGAAACGAAGTTTTGATGTCGCGTGATATGAACTATTTATTGGTATGTTACCAATTAAATTATACTCGAATTATTTCTATAAATGCATCGATTCCGCGAGTGTATTATAATATGTTTACAGACACACTGTACATCACTATAATAATATATTATATAGTTCATGTTCGGTCTTATGCAACACATTTTATCATTTTTAATGAGTTTTTTTTCTCCGACTCTTCTCTTGAGTAAGACTCGACCGGTTTTCGATGACGTCGAGAAGCGGAGCGTCGACACGATGTACGCCAGTCATTTCGTAATATTATTGCATTATTGTCATAGCCACGCCGATGATGCTTTCCTCGCATGTGCATCAGTTCGGTAATAGCAGTAGATGGGAAATGGGAGCAAGTGTCGCCCAACATTTTTGTGCAATTCTAGTTGTACAAAAACTATAAAAAAATGTATAGCTACGGCGTTGACGTACATTATACTATCATACGAGTATATACCTACTATAACTATGCCTACCCATACTATAATATTATGGAGAGACGCCCAGGCGCTAATTGAATTCGATCGTTAAAAAGTTTGTTATAATCAACTTCGCGTACCTGCTTAATTCTTGTCGGTTAAAATTATTATTTTTTTTTAGAATGATACAACTCTTTGCGCCACCTGCATAATAGTATACGTACAACTCGGCAGTGTGTAATGGAGTCTAGTGTGACCAAAATATTTATACGAATGACATTTGCCACCGCTGCTGCAGGGGAAATAATTTATTGTATTACACAACAGTAATAGTACAGTAATAATAAATTATGTGGATGAACGGTTTAAAATAACTCTCGTAAATCATGCATAGACAATATTATAATAATAATAATAATAATATTGTAATACACACAATGTACGGTCAACCTATATACGAAACGCCAATAATAATGATTATATTTTATTATATACATGACGGGAGTGATCGATAGAGCGTTTTTTGACGGAAAAAATGTTAAAAAATCACAAACACTAAATCACACAGCTGGTCCATAATGTCTATGCAGAGAGGGAGGCGCAGATCTCGTCGATTGGTTTTTATTTTTAATATCAGGCGCTCGTTCATGTATTGCAGGTAGCCTCTGGATACCGAAGTGAGGCTATTTTCCGCTAAACATAACTTTAGATATTCTTATACTTAGGGTTACTAGATAGTAGATACGCGTGTATTAGTGTAAGTGACTTCAAAATATGCCTTTTTTCGTTTAATGCAAAGATACGAATGAAAAAAAACAATATGTTATCAATTACATTTTTGACGATAAAAATTAAAAACCAAAATCAATTTTTACTATAGACAATTTATCAAGACGAAATTTTGAAGAAAAATCTCTTTGATATAATTTATTATTTATCAAACATTTATTTTTAACCGATCGTCTTCTGTTGTAGGAGAATTTTCTACACTCTCGCCATAGTACTGCAGACGGCCTCCACTGATTATTATTATTGTTCGTGTCGATTTGTTTGGACTCGAAAATACCAAATTACAAATTACGAATCCCAGATTATTCTATTGCATTCTGCTGGTATGACTGTACGATAATAATACGTCTCGTAACGTATTATAATATGCTAACTGCATATATTTCATTTTAAACCTAAAATACGTACCCAACTTACGAGTGGAATTAAATTTTCACTCATCGTAAAAATTCCATCTAAACCACATCATTTCATGTCGCATAAATTATACCCGTATAATATATTATAAACTCGTAACAATATGTGTATAGTAATATTATACGAAAACATTATTGCATTTCAATAATTACATTCCGTATAATACTATATTAATAAAACTACTCTAAATAATGTTATTTTTTAATTAGTGCGATGGATATCTATTTATTTTTTTTTCTTCTGAGTTTTTACTATAGTTATATTATTTATGTACGAGCTCGACCCCAGCAACGTGCTTATAATATGTATAGGTTGTATATTGAAAAGGCATAAGTATATCATATTTATAGGGTGAGTATTTTTTATGCACATACAACCCATCAAAAACCGATTTCTACACTTTATGTGTACACAGGTCGTCAGTGGTCAATGGTTATGAATTTATGATACAGGGTGAGTATCTGGGTATTTTCATCTGTTAGAAAAACTCTGCGAAATGAGAACGTAGTTCTATTCGCCCCATGTTACTTGAGTTCCAAAAAACATATTTTTTCAGGCAGTGAATTCGACTGATAATTTGTGTCCCATTTAAGGGGTATTATTATCGATGTTCTCCTTATCGATTAAATTTATGTTCGATATAAATTGATAGTTATTACCTATTGATAATTTTTTATTTTATTATTCATATTTTTAATTTTATATTTGATTCCTCAATATTGAAGCACTTGTTTGTTAGATACGTACCTACAAAATTATCAAAATAAAAATAACTCATTTAAAAATGTTTACTTATTCCTACGTATTTATTGTTATAAAATGAGTGTTGTTTTTTATATACTAGCTCGTTTATAAAGAACTGATTACGTTATTCAATAAAATAACAAGTTTGATTATAAATGAACGAAACAGTAGGTACCTTATATATAGGTCAAGCATAAAATAAATATGTGAAATAGTTCTTTATAAAATAGTGCATAACATTAATATCGTTTACTATGTTTGTGGTACAAATTATTTTTGATGATTACTTATAACTACCTATAACATGAATATTACATTCGTTAGATACAGTTATTATAGGAGATGACGACTACGATCTTATACTCATCTAATACGTCGACCGTATGCTTTCCATAACTATAAACATACCTTTATTTTTAGTGCCTTTATGTGTTATATGTATCCATTTTAATGGAAATCAAAAGTAAATTATGTTGTGTTGTACAAATAGATGGTCTGCATCGTTGAGCTTAAGTATTTTAATCAACACTTGCCCAGATTTATTTGTTAACTGTAGCATACAGTTAGTATACCATGGAAGAAGATAAGTTTCATATCGTGTATTCTCATATTAACAAAGCTTATTAAACAAATTGATTTATATAATAGTATCGTTTTTTGGGGAATAATTAGCTGGTTAAAAATCTACGGCAAGTTATGATCTGTTTTTCGACATTTTTGTCTACAATATTTACCTCTTAAATAAAATCCATATTGCAACACTATAGCATGGACCAGTATATTATATGAAAATATTCTTCGGCGATGATGATAATTATAGGATAATATTTTATACTTTATAGTAATGAATGATGATTATATAAACATGGAAATCGAAGATCATCCAATTATATGGAGAACGTTTCATTGTTTCACTATTAATTATTAATATTTCAGAGTTAACGGATACGGTTTTCCATAAAATCACATGAGAAAAGTTTCTTTTCTTTAATCTTCCGTTGTTTGCCTAAATTTTAACGGTATACTCCTAAAACGAGATTGGGCCTACGTAATTTTGAGATTTTTAAATTTATAAATGTTCAACTTATGACTTATGAGTTCTTTTTTAAACATTTTAAACTTTCAATTATTTTTTTATGTATTACGATTCGCTCTCTTGTCTTCTTCATTCCCCGTATATTCAATATCGATGACTACTATGCATTATATATTAAGCACACGCAATGCATTTCTGGACACAATACTATTTTATTACTGTCATGTTTTTAATCTGAAACCCAACGACATTGTAGCATAGTATATTATATTATTATTGTTTTGTGTCCGTTCTGAACTCGGACTACATATAATATTAAAATTAAAAAAAATAAAACAATAGTTGATAAAATATTCAACGAAAACGCAACGGCATAATAATAATTATTTTCGTGTTCCAGTGGCGTGTGAGTTGCATGGTTTATTCGAACGTTATAATAACAGTGAGGTCGGGTGGCAGGACACGGCTCTCCTTCAAAGTTCCTAGTGTTTACTGCGTCCAGTCGCCTTGTGCATACGGTGGTTTGCTATTCGTGTGCAATACGTATTGACCTCTGGCACTAAAACAAAAATTAAATAATAATAACAACATCATACCCGTGACATTGTGGCAACTGTTAAATGATCTGCAAGTCGAGTCGAGCGATTATCGAATTGCAATACGTATGTAATCGAAATGTCATGATATTATCGATTCACGAGGTCATCGTGGGGAGTGAAATAGTATTAAAATTGTGCATAGTCGTAGGTAAGGTATATTTTAACCAACAATCTATATCACTTTTACGACAGTGATGAGGCTGTATTCAGAAATGAGTCCATTAAAACTGTACATGTATTACAAACGAATTGAAATGTTTGGTTTTAATGTGGATTAAAAAACTATTTTAATACCATAGCCATGCTAGTGTGTACAATGATTTCAATGATTAATCATAAGTGAAAAACGATGAATGTAATGATATTCAAAGCTGCTCCACAGCCTGCGTTCGGACGAGTCGACAAAAATGCGGAATATTATGGCACAAGTATAATAATAGCAACTATCTTACTGTATTGGGAGGCACAGACGACTGGCAATAAATTATTATTAATAAACTACGTGTACGCACTATAAAATCAATATAAAGCGCCAAATAGTAATGTGACGCAACAACTACGAAGATCTCACCTGTGGTTCACGCACTCTCCCATGAGCTCATGGTCGCCTTGTCGTGGGCACTTGCCAGAGAAGTAATCTAACGTACTCGGACATGGCCAAGACCAGAATCCCGTCGCCGATCTGATGCTCTCGGCGAAGTAAGTCGGAGCCATGTGATGATCACAACCGATCGGATCTGATGAAATATGCAAGAACAAACAATAACAATAAATTAATATTTACAACATTGCAAAATTATTATTTTTAGAAACAAAAGATGTTTAGAGATTTGTTTACTGATGTTTATTCATTTATTGCAACCCACTCGTCCTGTCATTCAATTTTTAAATTAAATTGTATTCTAAATTACACCGATTTTTAAGGAGCTTTTTAAATCGTTTATCTAGCGTCTACGTGTTTAAATTTCTAATAGATTATTTTTTTGTTTTTAAACATATTAAACATTAAAAAAAATGATACATATTTATGGTATAATATTAAAATATTTAAAGCTAATATATTTGATGTTTTGTGATTAAATTATATCAATTAAACCAATATATTTTAAAGGAAATTAAATATTTTACTATTATATTATGTCGATGATGTATCTTCAAATAACTGTTTACGTCACACGTACCGAGAAAAGTCACTACTTTCGCTCTGTAATTGTGATTTTGGAGAGAAAATATGTCACTTTTGCCCTACTGCCTACATTAATGGTCTCAATATGTGGCCAGCAATAAAGATTTATTTCTTCGAACATTTTAAAATGTTAAATCAAAATAAATAACTATAGTCAATAGAAGAAATAGTTTTGGTCTAAATTAATTATTTTTATTTGGAATTTAGAAATATTATGAGTAAAAAAGTTGTTAAAAAAAGCCCAATTTGAGACCACTGTTCTACCGGATCTATGGCAAAACAGTACTATGGATATAACGATGAAAATGTCATGAAATAATGTAAGACGAAACATTTATACATTTATATTAATAACATTGTCTGATTTTATCCGAAACATTATTCCAGACATTAAGTCATTTAGAAAAAATTCCGGAATATCATAATCTATATTATTACTATACACGCACTTGAACTGTTGTGGCAGCCCGGTTGCGCTAATCCGCCGTTGACATAGAAGTCTACGTCACCGCATGGCGCCAACTGGCCCTGGATCATAGCGTTCGTGTGTATTACGTCCACGAAATCGGCATCGTTGCGACTCAGTCTTCTGTTAAGGTGCGTGCTGTAGAACAATGGCAGAGCCGGATCCAGTCCTGAAATAAAAGCACTATACATTGATTACTATATATTATGTTGCCTAAGATTGTATAGACGCGAATTCGTGCTCGACGATGATAGCAATTATTTCGATGTGGTAAAAATAAAACCCCCTACGAAACCCGTCTACGAAACTTTCGCACACACTCATCGGTAGGTCGATTTGACGGCCCCGAGTACATTATGATATGAAAGAGTATTGCCAATCATATAATTGTGTACGTCGGATGACGCTATAGATCGATAGTCCCGATCTGATACCGAGGCGTCACCCACTTTAGTTTATTTTTTTTTCCATGCGTGTTTGTAGTAGTTATTGGTATATTTTCTATTAAACTCGTCATGCCTTTATTCGTTTCAGAACCGAAGGCTGCTTAAATTGCAGTAAAATATGTCACATATTACACATACTATATAAAATGTCTAGGTATACAACATTACTGCAGTAGTTATATTATGAACCCTGGAGTTTCGGATACCATGGTACCCATTCGATGTTAATGCCGTACTCGAAGTAATTTGTTCGAAACCGCGAGCATGATTGTCCCTTGAAAATTCGGAATTCACAAAACTCAAATTATGTGTTGAGTTCTAATAAGTTACACCACAGGTACCGTTATAAATGTATGTACAGGAATCCTTGTTACGCTCTGTGTCTACAATATTATGATCACCGCAATCTCTCTATAGTTATATTATAATAATATTATGGTGCAGCTCACCCGTGATCCTCGGCAACTTGATGGGCTTAAGGTGTTTGGATATCTGACTGGCCAATTGACCACCAAGGCTGAAACCGATCACGTGCATCACCTCTTCGGGCTGTTCCACCTCGGATAGCTCAATGATTTTACGCACGAAAAGCGCAGTGCACTTCCCCACCGCCGGCAGGTTGTACACCGCAGCCAAATAACACTCACGAGGCCCGGCCGAGACGTCACGGTAATCGATCATCCAGACGTTGACGTCTGCCTGCATTAGGTATTCTGCAGACAAAAATAAAAAATCAACATCGCCTCACAATGATAAATTATGTCTTGTAATATGATGCCGAAACAACGCCCACTGATAAAATTAAGTGAAAAAAACACGTGTCCATTATTTTATTATTATAGGACGACATTTTTTTTTCAATGCAAAAAAACGAACTCATAAATGCTCTTATAACTGTATCCTGCAGGGGATGAGTTCCATTTAGTGCGGTATAGTTTTAGTACAAAAAACTGGCGCTGGTTGAGTATATTTACTCAATTTTTTAAGAAAAAGACTGCCGAATAAATATGTAATAGAAATAATTATTTTGATTGTTTGTAAAAAGCTCAGTGATTTTGACATATTATTAATGGAATTTTAAAGAACTAAGAACTCAGAATAATTTTTGAACGCGATGATTTATCATGATAATATATAATATAATATTATATATAATTATTTTTTTTACATCATTATAGTACGGCGTTCTGTGTATGCAAAATAGGTGCATTACCGTGATAATCAACACTAATTACTATTTTTAATATATTTTATTACTTTGATTTTAAACGTAAATTTTTAATTTTCGTTGTACAAGTTTGACGTTTTGTCAATTTACTGATTATGAACATCTCTAAAATAGTCAATTACTCGTCAAATAAATTTCAAAGTTATTTAACAAGTCCATTAGTACATCAACTTTTAACTAGATTACTGACATTTTGCTTGGAAGAGTATGTTATTTTTAAAAGAAATGTAGTTTTAATATTTTCTGACATTTATCAAATTTTTGAAAAATATATTAATTTGGAATGCACATATTTTTTTTAGCGAATACAATTAAGTATGCACTTCAAGATTTATAATAAATTATTAAAATTGCTGGAATAAAATAATTTAAACAATAGATTGATTTGTAGGGATGTTTAGTATGGAGAGTTAGATCATGTTTGCGTAATGTGACTGCGGGTGTAGACATGTAGTATAAGTGATTATTTCCATGCGTATGTCCCCGCACAACTGCCACATACAAGTCAGTTAAATTCAATAACAATATTCATAATACAATTAATAATGATAAAATTACTTCTGAAAAAAAAATTCTTTTGAAAAAAGTTGATTTTCTTTACGATGGTAATGATGCGTATAAATGGGAAATTAAATTTAGGAAATATTTAATACGCATACGTGTACGACTTGTGACCATATTGTGTATAGTAAATTAGTGTTGATTGTAGCCAATCCACCTATACTTATGCGATAATACTTATCGGAACTTGTTATAATATTATCTATTTGAGATCAATCGGTCCACATTTTTGAATTTTTGATTTCAATCCCAGAAGATCAACGTGGCATGGAATTTCTAAAATTGTAAAATATCGGAATTAAGTTTATTTGTCTTAGGGAACGAAATTGGGAAAAGTACACAAATTACGAATTAAAATCAGTCCTCAAAAGTCTAATCGTTTCACTATAGGTTGGTTGGTGAAATAATTGACAAAAGATTGGTATTTTTCTTGTTTGACTGAGTGCCAGAAATTGGCTTACTATTGAAGCTTAACGATCATAATATCACATTTAATTATTTAAAATAATTAATTGACGTCCAAAATTAAAAAACTTTTATTGTGATGTTTTTTTTAATATTGGGGGTGTAATAAGGATATTAAATTTACCACGTGAAAATAAGAGAAAAGAACCTAACGCTATAATAAACCTAATTTTGTAAATTATTCTAAATAAGTCTTACCTATGTACATTTTATAATTTAACGATATCAAAACTCTACAATATTTTTTCATTTTTAAATGCCAAGCAAATATTGTGGTGTCATCACAACCTTAAATGATAAAATCACTGAATAGCAATTTTAAAGTAATAAATAAATAAATAGAATATTTTCAAACTATTTAACATATATACTATTATTACTCATAACTAATATATTTAATTGGAATAATATGCTATTAATGAAACAATAATGAAGTGATATAAAGAATTGTATCAAAGAGAAATTAATTAAATTTCAATGTTACATAATAAATGAACTCATATATAAAATGTTAAATGTTAATGAAAAATATTATTTGTGTTCGTATAGGTACTAATTTTTGTAGTAAAAAAAATACAATCAATTTTATCTGATTTTGATGAAGTGGTGTGAAATATAAAATATATTTATGAACAAAATTTTGAGTTGAAAAAGGTTAAGCCATTTTATTATATTTTTATTAAAAGCTAACCCATAGTTATTTTTTTATGTTGATAAAAGTAATCAATGCCCAAATATGTATCAAATACTAAAAATGTATATATTTTTTTTTAATTCCATACTACACAATCGTTGATACAATGTCTGCGTTTTTCAATAATACAAGTTGAAAAAACTTGTGAACACAAAATTAATTTAAAAACAGCTTTTCACGAAATAATAAGGATTTTGTGAGTTACCAATATTATAGACAACATCGTAATAATTTCATCCAACATTTAAATTTAAATTTATAAACCTGGTTTTTAATTTTAATCGTTTTTAGTAATCAATTTGTGTGCACATATAATTCGCTTTAAAATATGATATTATAATATTATTGTATACAACTACACTGTTACTTTAATAGGTAAAACTCATTCAGTATAGAAATGTAACCGTCACATATCATGAATATTAACAATTGCATACCTAATAATTAATACTCAGAAATTAAAATACGAATTTTTTGTACTTGTGTCATGCAGTTAGATAGAGAATGAACTTGTAATAATATAATTATTGCACTATATTACAAAATAAAATCTTAAATATTTAGTATTTCAACAATAAAAATGTCATTATTATAGTGCATACCTACTGTGTTTATACTATTAAATATGGTTGGTAATGTTATAATGTTTGTATCGCTTAATTTATAAATACAAATTTTTTATTCTAATTTTAAAAATTATTTCAGTGAGCCGATTAGTTATCAATGAATTTTAATGTTAAAAAAAAAAACTGATAAAACACTTCTATTAAACTCACATAATATAAATAAGTATCATGAAGTGTGTCGTCGAGTAGCGAGTCGAGTAGGTAATCAATTTTCAGATAAACTCAAATTGTTCTATGAAAAAGTACTCAAATGTTTCGTTTTTTATACGGCGACTGTTGACACAAAAAAGAATTTGAGATTAAAAAAGCTTGACTTTTACCCGACAATATATTCTATTTACAAAATACTGGTTTGAAATGTAAATAAATTATGCAATTCGTGATGTCAGTTCATTAATTTTTTTACGTTTCTCAGTCATTTGAGTTAAACATTTTTTTTTTTTTAATTTAATTGCCAATTTTTTTCTATCGTTTTAGTTGCTTAAAATCTGCGACTGCTTGTCACATAGAATTCCACCCCAAACAGAGTATCGTACTACCATTGAGACGTTTCCGGGGACAAAATACCATCATAAATAAAATATTATAGGGAGTGCAAATAAAATGAACTCTGTGTTCGTTTTGTTTACTGAAAGATTAATTTGTCGAAACGATTGATCATGTCAAATAATACACAGAACCGATCGTATTAAACGGACTACTTGTCTACTTCAATTATTAGAATATAATACGTAGAAGTATAGAACAATGTTTTGTGTTACATATTACACTATCACAAGCCAAATATATTTCGGAAACAATACGGACCGTTTTGACTTTACACGCATTGTAAATATTGATGATAACAAATTCCTGCCGAAGCGACCGATACATTGGGGTCGCGCATATCGATATCAGCGTTACCATGCTATATCAACTCGATTTAGTTTGACCAAATGTAGTTTGCAACTATATAAAATATCATATTATCGAAACCGTCATGGCCAATCTCAAAAAAATTGCGTTCTATACATTATTAATGTTTTGGTGTATTTAATAGTAGTATTATTAGTTATCAGATTATGTGATTGTGTCTCCAGGCGATGGCGTCGGGACTATAATGGCTGCCACCTTTTGCTTTTCGAGTAGTCCTCGGTATTCCGGCGTTGTTGTGTTAAGTCAACGGTTTATTCGGCGTTTTTAATATTGTAACATTGCAGTATTACTATTAGCTGTATTAAAATATTTGTTTTTTGAGGGTGATTAACGAAATTTATGACGGTTGGACCTGACTATAGCAGGACACTGGTGTACATAATTGGTTATTTTTTCTTTAGATTTGTATTTTATATAAGCTCTTAATTACCAACTTAAGCTATAGTGACTATTTCCGATTGCTATAAATACGAGTAGTAACTTGTGTCCTATCCATCACGTACATTCTAAAATATCAAAATGAAATCATGATACTATTCCTATTATTGTTCATGGCCAATCTCAGATAACATTGTGTATCTCTAATATAAATATTATAATACCAAGCACTATCTCACGAATGTTTAACATTTTTCGGTAAAAACTGCATGTGAACGGCTATTCTCAGATAATATAATGGCATATCTAGAGTGTGAATATTATAGTATACCGTTCTCATGAATTTTTAGTAAAATGTAAAGTTTTTGGTAAAAATATATGTTTAGAAATCGCAGTACACGAGATAACTGTTCAGAGAGACATTAACTTCCAAATTTCCTAGAAACCTAAACAGTTTATTGTTCCTCCTATTAATTTGTAAAAATTGAGATTGACCATCATGGTTCTTAAAATTTGGTGATTAAGAAAGATTGGCTGCGAAGGACACTCTACAGGACACAGTAATACACACGTGTGTACAGTGCTATTGTAATGCGATATGTTAAACTGAGTATAGAAAATTAATTTTCTTTTCGTTTTTATAATGGCATCCAGATTAGAAAATATTATAACACTTTGTTTTATTACGATAGATTTGGAATATTGAAAATGTATATTAGTTATTACATTATTGTCCTCTAACTTTTTAAATATATTTATTTAAACCAAAATAAATTTAAAATATTTATACGTATAGTCGAATAACGTATATTACATACTATATCTTAACTGATGTATTATTAAAACTTATTAATACAATATTAATCGAAATCATTGATTTTCGAGCTCAACTTTTCCAATCCATCAACGTCAATCGGTTCAATAGCACTGCTCGTTTTATATAGTATGAAACGTGAACGATTTTATACGACTTCTATTATAAATTCGAATAAATGAACATTGAAATGATTTCCTAGAAGAAACCGGCTATTGTAAAAGCAAATAAATTAAATTAAATTGTAAGTTTCAAAAACAAATCATGTTTTCGTTCGGCTGAAGTTTTTAATGGTAAAATACATTATAATTATCATTTTAATTTGTTATTACCGTATTCTTTGAAAAAAACTTAATGAAAATGTTACAGTTAAACTTAAATAAGTAGTTGGATACAATATTTTAAATACTTTAAACTGAACCCATTTTCTGAAATAACTACTGATAATATTTATCTAAGTAAAATGAATACCTAATATTGACCTAACATTATACCTTAATGTTACATAATATAGTGTCTATTTTTGTAAAACCACATTTAAAAGACTATTATTATAAGTATGATTAATATTTTAATAATTCTGAAACTACTTTTTTGAATTTTGATTCGAATACATAAAAATGTTCAAGAAAACCCGACCTCTAAATAATTTGTTGTAAAAAGGGAGGGTTTTCGTTTGAAAGATATAAACAAAAATTCTAAAAACCAGAATTTGAATTAATGCATTATCAAAAGAAAAATGAGGGTAAACATGTTCAAAAAAAAATCACCCTGTTCATATATTAATAATTACATTATTTTTAATTTCATATTAATTGATAAAAACCCAAAGTAACTATGATTTCGTTCGAGTTTAAATAAGTTTTTCGAGTTGTAGGGATATGAAATCTCAATAGTAGGTAATATTTCTCGATTTCGTAAAATTCAAGTGATTATTCAATAATACTTGATACTTTAGAGGTTAGAGTGTTACTTCAATACCACGAATGTCGGATGATTTGGCATACACAGATAAGTAGAGTATTCGTATAATGTATTTGTTTGAAAGGCACCTCTCACCATATCTAATTAAGTGTCTTATGTCGACTTTTTCAATGGTATAGTTTCATTTTTTTTCACCTCAATCATATTTTAAATATTAGTGCAAGTGTGATAATTATAATATAATAACTCAACACAGATTACTGAATAGAATTATTGTTGACTCATTGAGTGCTGTAGAATAAATATAAAGTAAATAGTAATTAGTATGAATCACTATTCAAAAAATAAAATTGTATGACACATCCAAAAACTATTATCCACCACTAATAAACAAATAACATTTATGTTAGTTCGTTCATTCTAGTGTTTGGGACTCAGTAAAACCAAAAATAGGCTGAGTAGCATACGAAGCACATTATTTCAACGCATTGCGCTACAATAAACCCGATAACAACTACAAATACATTTTATAATTTCACAAACTATAGAATAGAAGTAATGGCAGGAAAAAAAATGCCGTCCACTTTTAAAGTTAATTAAGTACAGAAAAATTAAGGGAAATATAAAGCTCATCGTTAAAAAAATTTAAGTATCCCATGGTCATACCATAAAATGAGAGAAGAAGTAATGACCATTAATCAGCTAAGTTAGAATAGGACACACGCACTTAACCCACTAATACCTTATCAATAATTAATAAAAAATCGGCTTCAACATGTACTACTATCAATCGCAATGTGATCAAATGCCAAGTCGACATCGTATGGACAATCTACTCAATAACCAAGCAATCGCAGCAACACGCACTCACTAACGAAGAAAACACAGAAGCAATCTAAATTTTTTTCTTCGTATAAACCAAGTTTAAGATCGTAAATTTTCAAGTCATTCGATTTAATATTTGTTTATGGCTGAGATTCAATTTTATAGGAGGCTTATAAGTTATAATCAAAGTTGTTGTTGAAGCCATAAGAGATAAAAATTAAGTCGTATACATTTGAGTACGTAATAATTAATGTTTCGGTAAAATGTATCGTCTGCTGACTTTTATGTGCATGTAGAATATAATATACAATAACGCACCGGTTTGTGTGGATTTTCAAATTCATTTGTACAGCAACGGACAAACGTAAATCGGGACGAAGGGAGAAAATTGTAAATTGTGCAAAATATATTTCAGATATACATTTCTATATATTAAATTGTGTGTAATACATTTCAAGTATAAATATATCTATGTAGTAGGCATATTGCGCTCTGTATATTGCAGATATTATTTTTAAGTAATATTAGTGTTTCTCCCCGATAGATTTCAAAAATGCTTTGCACGTTTCTACACTACATCGCTACTTTGGTCCACCCTAAGCCAATACACGTTTTAATTTAAAAAAATTATTATTTTCGTATAGGTTATAACCTGATTTTCTTTCTGACCAAATCCAGTACATATATCAATGGCGTTTCACTGTTGCATACAAATAACTTATAAAAATATTACCTACCTTCGTAAAATCGTAATATACGTAAAATCATTAATATTTTTAATATCATAATGATTAAAATCATTAAATTTCAGCTTTTACACCAATAAATGTAAAACTGTTCGAAATAAATGTCGATGAATTCGAGCTGACATAAATACTACGGGCTCAATTTACTATGGTTTCTTATCCTATATTATAAATACAAAATTGATACTCAATTTTTGAAATATTCATTTGGCTGTGTTTAGACACCCAGGTGCATATATTGTAGATAAAGAGTACACTGACGCCCATCCGTGTATATTATATTCGATACCCGGTCAGTTAGTAAGCATGCAACGATTCCCATACAGACATACAGCGATGCCCAAATGGCCACCATCTCGCTGCGCTGGGACAAAAAAATAAACGAAAATATCCCTCGACATGCTATGCAACACTATCTAAAGTTACATCGCTGGGTAACCACCGTATTTCCATTCTTATAAATTTTTCTCATCACTTACAAGTGCCTGGGTGATTCGACAACATGAATTCTATCTAGTTTTTTACTACCAGTTCAATGTTTGCGAAATTTACAATAGTTATTAACAATATTCATGTGTGGATTATATTTTGTATACAATAATAACATCGCGGAGGGTGGTGAAACATGTGGCATTGTTATGTAGTAAGGTTTGTTACAATCCACATTACTATTATAATATAATACAAAAAAAAAAAAAAACAAAATATTTACCGTCTTTAATTGACTGAAGTACATCCAGCATCATATTACTGTTGAAACCATGTAAGATGAACTTATTTGGAAGAGACTTGATGTAGTATGACTCGGTAATATTTTTGACCGTTACCAGTTGAGGATCATATTGGTTATCTCTGTAAAAAATATTTTTGGTTGTCAGATAAAACATAATATGACATAATAAATAATAAATATATATGTATGTAGTTTTGTACCTATCTATACTAATATTGTGATAATTTAGTGTTAGGTCAGCGAAAAATAAACGTGTTTAGGACACGTGCCCAAATTATATTAGCGAATGACTATCGAAAAATAATTATTAGTTACTCAACAATAGTACCATTAATACTCTAAAACGATTTTTAATTTAACGAACGTGCCATACGATAAATTGGTATATCAATACGCGGCTTATCGAGGAAATCAATAAACATGCAGTATTGTAAAATATTTTTCAATTCAATTTATCCCAAACTACAGTAAATTGATAATTTTGAATTATCTAATAGTCTCTACTGTTTTCATTTTTTCATTCAACAAAATCTATTTTTTCAAAAATTGTAGATGTTGTGTAATATTCTATTGTAATATTATATTCCCGTTCTTACTCAATTGTTTTCTTTGATCTTTCGCGATTATTTTGAGAGCACTGAGAAGAATATTGTTTATTTATTCACCTCCCCCCCCCCTAGTACCAGCTAGATCCAATTTGTTACCTTAAGAAACCACCATTGACATTGAACATTGAAGCATTTCTTTCTGGTCCAAAACGCGTGGTAACAAACGCAAAAGAGAGTATATAAAAAGAAAACTACACATCGTTGTAAGGTTAGGTTCGCAAGGTTATGATATCAATGTATCATTCATCGATCCTTTCAAAGTCTAAAAATTAAACAACCCCTAAAATGTAGTACATGGCATTTCGGCAGTAAAAATAACATAATGGTACATTTCATATTGGTACTATGACAGTAATATACTTTATAGTCACCTGGTGTACAAGTAAAAATTGATAGAAGGGTCGGGACACACTGGATGGACAATAAACGTACAAATGCCGACTTTCTGGTGGTTTGCGGCACACTGCGTGCTCGAAATGCACAACGCTAAAGCAAGAAGCGCGATGGCCGTACTGTACGTCGCTGAAAAACAATAAAATGCAATAATAATTATCATACTATAATATTATGCAATGGTGGTCACACGAGTTCAGAGTGGGATAGATCCCCCAAGAATTTGATTTCAATATTTGTAATAACTTAGGTATATCTTAATAGCTAGTACTTATAGAAGCTATAGTTGTAAAATGGTAGCCATCAATCATAATATCAAATAGAGAATGTTAAAAAAATCGACCACACCCTCCACCATGACAAAATCATTCGATCGCCATTGCGTTACTGCAGCAAACGGACAGCTTACGTTGATGACGTAAGAAGTACAATATCATTTATACAATGTATATTCTACATTGTATATATTAACCCTTTGAGGATCGAGTTAAGAAGTCACCGGCGTTTCTCGGAGAGCCGATTAAGACTGGAAAATTATACATTTTGGAGAAAACACATATATTTAAGTTACCGTTTTATCCCCATATGTTTAAAGATGACATATAAATACGTCCCAAGTAAGTGCATAGATATAATATTATAATACATAAGTTGGTTTATATAAGTTAAAACTCTATACTATTAAAAATTAAAACCGTCAGTGCTCTTTTAAGCAAATCTTTAGGATCAATCCTACTCTTCCTCTTTATGCGTTAATTCTCGTCAAAGGGTTAAGTCCATTACATCTTATCGGAATATGAAAATGATTTGTCAAATATAAATACAACATATTAACAATAAGTTATATTGTCAACTTTCGATTACCATTTTTGTTCAGTGATTTTGTCGTATTTAAAATTAACGGACATAGTACCTATTAAGTCCAATGTATTATATAACTGTTAAGACCAGTGGTGCCCAAACAGGTTGACAAGTACTGAAACTGCACGAAGTTCATAAAATTATAGTATATACTTTAGTATATAATGATTCATTTCCATGAACTGCAGTGATTAATAAGTGAGAATAATCATTTAAAATTAAAAAAAATTGGGAAACTTCTTTTAACTGCATGTGCTCTTAAAATACTTCTATGCGCCACAGGTTAGGATTAATCAAACTGGACGATACTATAAAGGTCAATAATTATTTTATGTATTGAAATCGATAGTTAACATTATTTTTTACTATTGTCTATGGGTTAGATTTTGTACATTGATTCAACAATAACACATTATAGCCTACAAGACTATGTCAAATAGTCAATATCAATATAAGACGATATGGTAATAAATATTAATTTAGTGATTATACTATGATATGTGAACGTTTCAATATTTGAAGTAGGTATCTACTTATTCCACGAGAGTGTAAAGTAATATAACAACAATTTAAAATTGTCCACAAGAAAAATAAAATTGGGATGGGGACCATAATTTTAATAACAAAAATGTATAATATACAGTGTCGGCCTGGCCATGGCCGCTGGGCCGCAAACGCGTCCGGGGCCCTCGGCCGTATTTGTGTTGGGGGGCCCCCACCCCCGATCGTACTCAGAAATATAAATATTGGATAATGAATATTATTATTAATAATATTATTAGGTATGTATTTATGTGATAACTTTTGTTATCTGTGTGAGTGATTATTGTTATCATAAATAGTAGATAGTTTTCGACCTCCAGACGGAATAACCAATGTACCATTAATGCTAATGTCCATTGAAAAGGATATTTTGATTGACTCAGATGAGTTGATTGATACGATTGCTAACTCATCTAGTGAACTAAAAAAATTACTGATACAAAGAAAATCAAATGCACAATTAATTTTGAATTTGAATCACATTAAAAAAAATATTAAGTTCATGTGAGAAGGTATTATTTATATTATGCAATATGTAAAAAATTTTTTAGAATAATAAATTATTAATCTAACTTAAATCTTAACTTAATCTTAATGGATGCTTAATTTTATAGGTATATGGTACCTTTAAAAATTTATAATATTTTACACTACTTATAAGTACATTTTTAATAATTTTATGAAAAAACATTTTTGGGGGCCCTTCTGAAGAAATGCATCCGGGGCCCTTAAGGTACCAGGCCGACACTGATAATATATTACAACGACTGTGCAGTTACAACAGTGTAGTTAGGTACGTATTCACAAACCAGAGAACATTCCAACAAAAGTAAAGATAGATAGAGAAGCTAAATTATATAACAAAATAAATATCTATAATATTTATAAAGTAAATACCACAACTACAATTATCTTTATCGTTATTATTTAAATTTGTGTTTTAAACTTATGTATGGGCATAATTTAGAATAAATGTTGAAGTCATAATATATATTCAATGTTTTTTGCGTTTTCCATACATTGGTAACTTATTATTCTGTACTTGTATTATAATAGGTAATATCATTGTGTCAAATTCAATGTCTAAAAAATATTACATTAAACGTCGTTTGAGAACGACGTGTGCATGCATAATATTATTAATCATAATAACGCTGTCATACAATCGTAGGTGTTTTATTACCAAATCATAACAATTTGTATAGAATAAAGAAATATTAAATTAATCGGACGTGTTTAGGTACCTAACGTATACTAAGTACGAAAACAATATTGTGGGTCGGTACGAGTAAAAAATGTAATCTCCACACCATTTGAGGTAAAATATTAATAGTAGTATTTGTAATAATAATAATTATGATTAAGCACTATCATTTTTATTCAGACAGATAATTAGGGCAAAGGACTTCTAGCATTTGCGTATTAATTGTCTTGCATAATCGTAAAAACGGTCATCTAGAAAAAAATTCATTCCGTACACCTAATGACACAAAGACGAATTTTTAATTTTATGCTACATATTTATTTATTTATCAAATATTTAGGTTTATTTTTAGTTTTTGGGACTTCTTTGTATATTTTCCCTTAAAAAAAACGTTTATCAAAACGACAATCGTTTCTTATGGGATTTGATCATTTGAAAGCCTTCACGCACTGTTGCAGTGGCTACCGGTCGATTGAGCATTTTAGTGTTTACAGACCTAAGTCAATTGTCCGTGTCTTATTTAACTTCGTTCTTATTTTGGAATTTCAGATTCTATTGTATTTATTTATTCTCCTTTATATTATTAATAAATGGCAATGTATGTGTGCGTACGTATGTGTGTGTGTGATGCGTATCCGAGTATACCGCACTTATGGTCCTGAAATTCGGTACATAGATAATCCTCTACTCAAAGAGGTGCACCTCAAAACCAATTTTTAAAATTATGTATTCTAAAGAAGGGCTCATGTAGGGTATTGTTGGCTCACGAAAAATGCATATTTGTAGTTTGATTGTATGTACCGTTACCGTTGTATTAGAGTTATTATACTTGCACTGCGTCTAAAATCATTGATAGATTATAAGGTGATTGATAATTGATAATTGAATGTAATATGGCCAACACAATGTCTGTATGTTTTTTTTTTTAATACTGTTATACCTTATATTATGATTTATTGTGATGCATTTATATAATATATTATTTTTATTTTATTTGCAACACAAATTATTAATTGATTACAGTGGAAGTGTGGACGTCTGGTTCAATAATTAGTTCATCAACTAATTATTGAATTTTGCTCACACTACGAATGTAATATACCCATACAAATTTCAGTCTTAAGAACCTAATTTTTATCAAAAATATTACAAGGTTATCATCACACGTGCAAGGCCTTTTTTTCGAATTTTTGGTGTTGTCAGAATGACAGTGAATGTTGGATTTTCATTATTGAACGTGTTACAGCATATAATTATAGAAATTCTCATGCATTTACTTTGTCTCGGCAACGCCGTGAAGGATCAACTAGTTTTTAATATTTATTAATTTATTGAGCTACTAGAAACTGAATATTGTTAGTACATATTATTGTTCTTGGATATTTTGGGATTCTTTAGAGCTACGTCACGACCACATACAATATAGTAATTTAAATGTATTCAATACATACTTAACACCATATTATCAGACGACGCTCGTCAAATGAAGAATATTGATATTATATTGGTAAGGCAATACTGTTATGATAATATTATGTAGTTGATATTAAAATTACGGTACAACAACGACAGGGATGATATTTTCGTAATAATAATATTTATTATATCATTGTGCGCTTTTGTCGGACGAATTTTCAAGCGGCAAATATTCGAATAAGTTGAGCAATATAAAATAAATGAACGTTTCAGGAAAACACACGACGAATCGGTTTATATATAGAGACAATAATATTAATATAGTTTGATCGGACTCAAAAAATATTATGTCGTTATCACACTCGCGTGACGCGGTTACAAGCGCGGCGACGTTCTGCGGACAACTATTATAATGCAATATTATTATTATAGATAGGTGCGCGTAATGTCGTTCTAATCGGTCTCGAGATTTTAGAAGGGGCACACCACAGCTGTAAATAGAATGTCGATTATCGAAATAGTAATTTTTTTTGTTCTATTTTCTCTCTTTTATCTCTACGCGTTTAAAATGTAAAATATATACATAATATTGTTATGCTTAATTATTTTCTGATGATATAGGTACGTCTCTTCTATTGTTTCTACGACAATGTTATTATTATTATGATTATTATTAGCCTTACTTGTATAATATTGTATAACTGTATGTTGTCGAACGCCAAAAAAATCGTAACGTCTTGCTTGCACACATTTAGAGTGTTCGACTTAAGAATCTGTTTTTAAGTTTTTATTTATACTCGAAATATAAACTGTACATTGTGCGTATCAGCCGATTTTTATGAACACACATTACACGGTGCTTAAAATCGCATGACTATAAAATATATTATTATAAAAGTTTAAATACTTGTAATTTTTTTTTTTACAGGTACGTAGTTAGAGGATAAATTATTACAATTTAAAAGCTGCTACAACAACGTATACTCGTTGTTTGTATATAGAACAGCAAATAAACTAAAACCTGTACAATTACGTATACAAAACCATCAACTACCTACTAGAAAATATAGGAACATATATAATGTAAACAAATAATGGTCGTTTAATAATATTCGTGTCCGATCCATATCGTTGGTCATTCAATGAATAAATAACAATAATAAAAAAAAAAAAAGAATAGTATTCTAAATAATAAATCAAACAATTAATTAAATATATAATATTATTTTTGCCTTTACATGCGTACCTATATTCTCAAACCCGAAAACAAACTAAAACAATACCATTTTATCACTCTTGTATTAGTTGCACTCATCCTTCTAATAACAATTAAAGCAAATCCCGATGTTATTTGAAGATTTTTTTTATTTTTAACTGACTTCCGAGTACCGTGTAGTTAAAATACCGACGTCAATATTACTTACTATTGTATACAAATCAGTCAAATTTTTTTAATGTACAATACGTCTTAAAAAATAAAAAAAATTGTTTTCATTTTAAAAAAACTGCTTGATTAGTAATGTTGATGACCTGCATCCAAAGTAAATTATCAGGTACCTTTCTCTTGCTAGGACATGATGATGGCTGTCGAAATAATAATAGATTGGACTTCGTAAAGAACGTAATATTTACCAATATTATTTCCGTATGAGTTCTAAATGATATGAAGTACCTATAATACATGTATTTGAAACACTACACATAGGTATGTATATAAAAAAAAAATAATAATAAAATATAATAAAATAACAAAAAAAAGTATAATAATACCTAAGATAATAATGATATGCCATTCGAAAAAAATAGATTAATATGATATAAAACTAATTGCATTATAATTTATAATATTATAACAAATTATTCTATTTTTGTTATCAAAAATTTTAATTGTATAATAGTATAATAAATTACAAAGCGTATTGTTTTTCTCGATTACCTATCTACTAATACATCTAATATAAAAAATGTTCAAGACGTGGATGAACACCTTTTAAATTAGTAATTTATTATTCATATTCAGTTCCGTTGCAATTGCTTACTATAGAATAACAGTATATAGATAATATTATAGATTATATAAATAGTCTATGATTAATTATTGTGACCTGGTATGAATTCAAACTACGGATCCATTAACTGCATCTAACTTCACTAAAAAAAACCATCTCTTATATTACTATCATAACTTAATTCATATATTTTGTTGTATTGTTTCAAATAATAATAATAATATATTTATTATCTATTATACATAATAGAAAACAAATCATAGTAATAATTATTATTTGTATATTATTTTATTAAAACACCTGTATAATAGTGTATACACAGTATGTATCAACATCTGCGGGGTACTTAACAGAATTTCAAATGAAAAATACTATTTCGAAATTTAATATTTTACATTTGAATTCGAAGAAATATAATCTGCTTTAAAATATGAAATGAAAATGTATGCTTTCGATCAAAAAAGTAAAAACTTCAGAAATTATAACAATAAAAAGTATCAAAATACATTATTTTTTAAAAAAAGGTTCTAATGGTTTAAATTATAAAAAAAAATATTTTGAAAACATTAAAACTTTTCGAGTAAATAAGTGTTAATCAGTAAAATGTGGTAGGTATATTATAAATTATAACTACTTCAGACTATTTTAAGCATCAGTTTTACAGTTTCATCCACAATTGCCTATTATCATAACTAATTAATGAATAATAAGAGAAGCTTCTAAATTAATTATTTGCAAGTAGTTTCAGTTTGAGTTAATTTTGATAGTGTAACGTCAGCTTCGTATATTATCATTTAAAACCAGTTGAATAATTCCGCTTCCCAGCGTGCATTTTTTGAAGTATCTCAGTATGCGTGTATCTCAGTTTTAGTGTACCTCAGTTCACAAGAAAATCGGAGCCAATAAAGGTACTAGGTACCTAGCTTAGTGAAAAAATTCAAGCTAGATGGGCAACCGAAAGGTACGAATTTCTAGCACTTTTTTATAAAACTTTTCCGATATCTTTAAAAACAGTATCGGAAGTTTTTGTCAAAATCATTCCAGAAATTGTTGAGGATATAAGCTTCAAACATGCATTTGATTGTAAGGTATTGTTTCTTTAATCGAATGTAGATGTGACGATTTGATGCATGCTTCTACCTCATCTGTCAGAGTAACCAATGGCAATCATTTGTGAACAAAAAATAGTTTCAAATTCTTTGTATTTAAAATGTAAAATTTTGGAAAACTCTTACCTATTGAATCTTAACATCATAGAATGAAACTACTGATCAAATTTCATACTCATAGCCTATAAGTAGAGTCATAGCATAGGCGGTTAAAGCTAGGCGATGATGAATCAGCCAGTTGATCACTACAAATTATTTTATTTACCTATGTAGTATATATATATATATATATATATAAATTCTAGAACACATCAGCTAACAGTTATATTTTTCGTGTATAAACATGATTTAATGTACATAAGTAAGTACAATTTACAAAAATTATACCTATTTATGTATTAGCCTCCATCAATGATTTACACCGAGGGCAAAATGCAAACATAAACCTTATAATTTATAACAATCATACAATCAACCTCTTGATTCCGACACAACATTAAAAATATTACTCGTAATTATCTTACAAAATGTGTATGCAAGTTGGGTTGCCTATGCAACATACCCTTTAAACAGACCAATATAATTCTAAAACTGTAGACTGTGAAATAAATACAAAAATTAATCCGTCAACCTTAGTTCTAGGCTTTGGACAAAATCTTTCGTGTACAAATGTATACAAGATTTTTGTTTCGTTGACATTTACTGTTATTCTGAAAAATTAATAGAAGAAAATTAAAATTAAAATGATGATGTTGTGTAACATTCGTTGGCGCAAAATAGCGTTTGACATTTGAAGGGGGGTCTGAATCCCTATTATAATAATATATTGAATATACTTAAAACAAAATGTAAGAAATATTTGGAGGTGGCCATCGCAATTTAAGATAGAGTTTAGCCCAATAATCACCCTATATTTGGGCATATAATAACACTATTCTAATACAATAAACGTAATATACATACTATAGTATTGTAAAACTTATCACAAAACTAAAGGGTGTTCATGCATTGGTATTTTTTTCATTTTTCATTTTTTTTTTTTTTTGCAGCGTCCTTATCAAAATATTTAGTTCACAATACATTTACGTTAGTCGTCTTATTTTTGATTTTGATACTATAAATATTATCTATTACATATTTTAAATATCTTAGCATATAATATGCATAAGGCATATTATTGTAAATTTTAACACGAAAAATACATGTTTTGATGGTATGTTAATTTCAGTACCATACCACTATAGTGGATATTTAGTTTTTAATAAATACATTCAATGCGTTTATTTGAAAGCGAGAGGAATCCCAAACGTAGGATACCGAAAATGATTTAACTTATATAAAAAGTAACTAAGTATGTTTTATCACTCAATATTTTTTAAAACTAGAAGATCCTTCACTTTTAGTCAATCTCAATTATTTGAAAGTACCCAATCTCATTAGTCATTGTATATTTTACTGATTTGTTTTTACATATTTTTATGTTATTGAAGAAAATTAAAGAGATTAATTATTACCTTATTACTTTGCATAATATTCTATTACATCATTTCTAAATAGATAAACCCTATCCCTATTCCTACGACGAGTGTGTATGCTGTATAATATAATATATTAATATGTGTATGGAAGTACAGAGTGGGTGACAGGGATAGAGGGGTAGAGAGGGAGAGAGAGATTGCAGACAATGTTTGTACTTACAAATGAACATTGTTGTCTCCGGTTAACGTGTGCGTGCGGTGATTTATGCATTCGTATCTCACATTATACTATATTATAGTAAATCACTAATCATATTGTCAAAGGGTATACTGGTAATATTTAAGGTACAAATACCTACCTAAAATATAATACATGGTTTAATATAGTTTCAGTATATTATATTGTAAAATAATATTAATAATAATAACAGTTTAGTATAGTAGTGGTTAAGTACATCGCTTCACGTCGTCATCATCCTGCTGCTCGTCACAGTCACGAATGTTATATACGAGTATACGACCATCTGAAATCGTGTTACAAGCTTTTTCGTCATGAGATATGTGTAAGAAAAATTTCCACCAACTCTTTGAGCGGTGAAAAATATGTTCTCGTACGCACATTAGGTTATTATATTAAATACAGCGATATACCTCATACTCATCGTATGCTGGAGCGGTGCACGTCGCAGACGGTATTTTGTTATTATATTGTCATTAATATTAAGTACCATTACTGTGTATAACCTCGGGAAAAAGCCACGGTATTAAATTTTATTTTATGTCGATCAAATAAATGTTTAAAATCTGTACGTTTTGAAGGATTTACTTTTTTTTACC